TTTTACTATTACTTACTCTTGATTTCTAACTCCGCCTTTACACATTTTTTTTACTGAAATAAAGGAAGGTGTATATACTGAAATAAAATTTTGAAAGTTTCTTAAAGAATCAAGTGTCTTTGGAATATAATCTTTCAATTTCAGCCTCATAAAGTAAAAAATAAAAGCTGTACGGTTCTTTCGGTGACCAAGTAAATATTCAAATTTAGAAAATCTGTAAAAAGGTCAAAATGAAATGAAAAATTGAATTGGAAAAACAAGATGTTAGAACTAAGATAATAAATAAATGAAATATTAAAATAAAATTGGAAAATCAATAAATTAAAGTAAGAATACTAAAAGAGAACTGTGCCACGGAAATCTCTCCATAAACACCAGTTAATTAAATCAACATAACTAACTTTCAATGTGTGTTTTTTGAAACCATGTGAAATTAGCTGCACACTGATTATATGTAATTAACGCATTTTTTAAACGTGTTAATTTCTATTTATTATGTGCCTTTCACCCTATAACAAGTAGCGGTGACCTTTTAATACAGTAAACCGACCCTTTATTATACTGAACACATCATTTATGTACATTTCACTCTATAACAAAGAGTGGTGACCATTTAACATACTAAACCGACCCCTTGTTATGTAGAATACACTATTTCTTATACACCCTTAACCGTATGACAAAGGATGGTGATCATATAACATAATGAACCAACCCTTTATTATATTGAACGCACCATATATTATGTACGTTTCACCCTATAACAGGTAGCGGTGACCATTTAACATAATGAATTGACCCTTTATTGTATTGAATGCACCATGTATTATGTACGTTTCACTCTATAACAAGTGGCGGTGACCATTTAACATGGTTAAATGATCCTTTATTATATTGAACGCACCATTTATACACCCTTCACCCTTTAACAAGGGGTGATGACCATTTAACATACTAAACTGACCCTTTATTACTTTGAACACACCATATATAATGTATTTTTCACCGTACAACAAGTAGTGATGACCATTTAACATAATGAACCGACCATTTATTATATTGAATGCACCATGTATTATATGCTCTTAACCCTTTAACAAGGAGTGGTGACCATTTAATTTACTGATTCAACCCTTTATTATATAGAACACACCATGTAATATTATGTACCATACCTTAAGACAGCTATGGCGTTCCATAAAAGAACATTTCATACTGTATTAGATAATAACATAATTTTTACGGTTATCATCTACATGAAATAAACGCAAGCATTAATATAGATGTAGCCATTTTGTCACAGGTACGAAAAACGTCATTTTACACACTACATATATACGAATGACGTCGGGAGCGTCAAATTGTATCGCCGTGTTCTTTTTTTTTTTTTCAATTTTCTGCAGGTCCGGAGTACCAAGTAGGGTAAAAGGTCCTTCTCCAATTATTTTAGAACAATCTTTTGTTTTAAATATTCTGAAAATTTTCATTCAAAGGCCGATACTCCCTTTTTATTTTGCTGCAGCAATATCTAAACATATCGCGTTATTGTTCTCTCTCTCTCTCTCTCTTTGCTAAATGAGAATGAGAGCCCCCCCCCCCCCTCCACGAAAAAGTAAAAGGGTTTCTGAATTTTATTTTTTCTGTCTAGTTTTTTTTTTCAATTTAGTAGGGTTCTTAATAGCGAAACGTCCCCATGCACATGCATCCCTTCTTTTTTGCATGTCAGTAACCCCCCCCCCCCCCGATTTTTAAAGAGAGCTTAACTACTTGGGCTGAAGAAAAAAGAAAAGAAAAGTTTAATTCAGTATAAGGCCATTTAATTTTTTTTTCCAGTTTAGCGATATGTATGCCTGTGACAATTTCATAATAAAAATCTGACAATTTATTAAATATTTATAAGATTATAGGATTTTTAGTGTACATCTTAATATTTTCAACGAAGATTCAAAAATTGAAAAGTTTGTGCTCTGTTATTTTATTTAGATTTAAAAAAATAAATAAATAGAATTCACATTAAACAACTAAAATATGCAATTGACGTTTAAAACGTTGTAACAACGTTATGACATTAATAACGTTATTTTGATGTAACGTCAATGTGTACCAACACCGCGCGCAACGTCTAAGTATTCAGTGTAGTTACATATCAAACACTTCGTCTGCTAGGTGATGATGATTTTCAATATGCAGTTTTAATACTAGTATATGTATCTACCACATTTAGCATGAAAGATGTGTCTAGGGGACGTGAATTTTCCAATCTATGTTAATGGTTATACATTCATTGAAGTCATAAAACATGTCCTATACTAAAATTTTCCCTAACTGCTATGCTTTTGTCTGTTTAATTAAACCTCAAGCCTGTAATGTATCAAAGAGCTCTCTTAACTTCAGGAAAGGTAGAGAGGGGGGGGGGGCACACTCAATGATTTTGTCCCCTCGCTTTATTGAAAGTGGGAATATTAATTTCGGTGTCTGCCTATCTGCAAGTCTGTCTTTGTAATACCCTATCGCTTTTTGGAAGATATCTCAAAAAGCCTGTAAACTTTTGCAATTAAATTTTATATGGCAATTTCCAATGGCCTAACAAAGACGCTATTCATTTGAGGCCAAAATGTCAAGATCAAGAATTTATACAATCTTTCTGTAAGACTTTCGTTTCCGGATGATACATGTATCTTTAAAAGCCTTGACCCTTTGCAATGAAATTTTATATCACAACTCCATACGGCCTAAAGAAGACCCCTATTGATTTCGAGGACAGGGTCAAGGTCAGAAATTCATACATGACAAAAACGGTTTCCAGATGATAACTGCAGTTTCATTTTTATTTTTCAATGAAATTTAACATCGCAACTCCCTATGGCCTAAAAATGACCACTATTGATTTTGAGTACATTTATAAGGTAATAGGTCAAAATTAGAAATTTATTGTTTTCAGATGATTTTTCCTTTAATCTTTTTCAATGAAATTTTAAACCATAACTCCTAATGATTGAAAGTTTTTGCATAATTTACCAAAAACGATGAGAAGAAGGTAGGTACAATTATTTTTATGTATGCAGCTATATGACTGTACAAATATTTCACTTTGACTAGATTACGAGACTGATCGGTTTTAGTACACGTAACAGAAAAAGTAATAGCTTTTCAAAAAGCTTGCCTGACAAAAACAATCAAAATTTCTAGAACGTATATAAACATTACAAGACTTTTAGTAATGATTGATTGATTATGTGTTGTTTTACGTCCCGTTCGAGAATTTTTCATTCATATAGAGACGTCAACATATACCGGTGAAGGGCTTCATCAAATAGATCTTTACTCGGCACTTAGGGTCATTGAGCAGTGAGGGTTCTTTATCGTTCCAACGCCTACCGTGACATGGGGCCTCGGTTTTTAAAAGAATCATCCGAAAGACCGGCAACTTTTACTTCAAAGTGCCGAGCGCTTGGCGAAGATCGTACCCAAAATAGAACTTGAGCTAGATCAACAAGTAATAAATGTTTCCTTTTTTATTATTTTATTTTTTTTCCCTTTTTTTTGGGGGGGGGGGGTTACGGAACATTTACTGACTGTGTTCTCGGGTAAAATGCGTTTTGTCGACCCCTTGAATCACACTGTTTGCCTTCAGCCTAACGGTCTCAGGCAAACAATTTGGTTCTTGGGTCTTCTGATTTCTCAAAATGCCGGCCATGCATTTGAAGGAAGGCAAATACATACACGTCAATCAAAACAAAGAACAAAACAGAACAAAAGACAGACGAAAATTACCTGCGAGTTCAAAAATAACAAAACTTTAGATGACAAGGACTCTCTAAGCATCACACAAACAAAAAAGTGGTTGGTGAATTTTCGAAGCTTTCTAATTTAAAAAAATGGAGGCGCAGAGTAGGAAAGCCGTTCAAAATGTAAAGTTGACAACTGACAATTGTTTTCTCTCGGGATGTCCATTTCAACTGTTAATCCCCCCCAAACATGTACTATTTATGTAATAACGTATATACCACAGGCACTTGTTTCTGTAATAAATTTTTTAACCCATAGTATAATAATAACACAAGGTATTCAACTTCGAATTACACGGAGTACCCCCATTTCCAGAATCGCACTCATTTACACTTTTAGAGGAAATGCACTGGCAAATTGTTTACTACCACTGTCTTCTACAATAATTTATCTACAAAACCATATATGGCATTTTTTTCTGTATTTTCTTTTATCTCCGTAACATGGTAAACAGCGTCAAAACTCTGCTCGCCGAGTGGAAAAGTCGACTTCAACCATGAAATTGTATGTGCTAATCCACATTACATTTTACGTCCAGATTAAGCAAAATGCAACAACGCAAAATGTAAAAACACTTTTAAATCTGTCAGGTTGAGAATAATTTTCAATTGAGTAGTGGATGAAGAAAATGGATGAAAAACAATTAAACAAAAGGAAAAATAAACATATGCTAATTCTTTCTTTAGATCTGATTTATCATATATTGATTCCATTAGCCATTTAAAATCAGTTGATATCCAAATCATAGGTATTGCAAATAAGAAACGCGCGTGCTCACGTGTGTGTGTTGGGGGGGGGGGGGGGGGTATTTCATTGATCAGTGTATCAGTTTGCTTTTGCTGTTTGATAGACACATGCCTGAAATTTAGAAAAGAAATCTATCTAGTTTTACTGACTGGTGTAAATATAGCGGGAAGGGGGTTTCTCGACAATTACGCAAAATGTAACAACCAAAAAATGCATTATAACATTTCGCGTTAATCCCATGTAATAAAATGTAATAACGCAAAATGTAACAATCCAAAAATCGTGCTATTACATTTTGCGTTATTACATTATGCGTTGATCTCGACACAAAATGTAATAACGCAAAATGTAATAATCCAAATTTATTACATTTTGCGTTGTTATTACATTTCGCGTTGTAACACTGCATAAGGGAATTATGTATTAATTTTTTTCTGCAATAGATGCGACGTTAATCCCCGTAATAACAAAGAAAGAAAGCATTTTATTTTTTAAGTGACGTACAGCCCCCACACACATTTTCTCCACCGAATTCTAATGCAACACTGCTGAGAAACTGCTTGTCGATGAGAATGTTGAGTCTGTAGACATATATTGTGGCCGATGCATCATATGTCTCTTTACAAACTGGACGAAAACCTTGACTCTCTGGTCCATATAAACATTGACTAAAAGAGGATAGTTCCGCTGTCACATACAATTCTACTGAGTGAAGAGGTCCTCTTGCAGTTATGTTTATAAATCCTCTGCAACCATCATACTTTGCAGAAATGTAACTATCATATGGATGGAAATCTACAGAAATATTCTTTAAAGGATTTCTATACCCAAGTAAATGAGCAGTGATGGGAATGGGTCCAACTTGAACATGCCCACCAGATACAACATACGTAACATTATTCGGAGAAATTCCTTCTGACCATATCCACGCTTTTGGAAATGATTTTCCCCAGTTCTTCTCCATATGAGCAGTCCCATGTCTCCCCTCGAATACAATTTCTCTGCCTTTTTTGAACTTGTACGACACAATAGATGAACGAAGGCTGTATACAAACCAATGCAACGGAAGTGGAAATTTATCCACCCATCCCTCAGGTCCTTCGCCATCTGGACCCCATGGAATAGGGGAAGATAACTCGCCATCAAGAGAGACATTTCCAAATTTTACACGAAATGAAGAGGACGAGACGTTACTCCGGAAGAAAACGAAGGAAACGCTGTTTTTTGCAAGCCAAGTAAAGTTGGCTGGTGAAGAAATGTCCGGATTTTTATCAACTGGTTTACCTTTCACTCTCACTTTAACGTCAGATGAATTAAAAGTAGCATCATGGGAGAAGAGTTTACATCCGGTTACTGAACACGATCTCACTAAAATGCTGCAGAGAACAGGCGGGTAGTTATTCACACTCTTTGACACGTCAGGTAATACTTGCCCAAACAATAATCCTATACTATTGCCATTGTCAGAATCTATTAACCGTATATACCATCCCTCGAAAAAGGGTCCACGTTGAGGAAATACATGAGGATCAAATCTGTTTCCCGATATTAATGTTACTCTGAGTAAAATACATAGCCACAAGAAATACATAGCTTTTGTATTTTAGGGTCAAATATCCTGCAAAGAGATAGAAAAAAATGGTTATTATATCAAGAAAACCCCAGAACAATTTTTTGAAAAATCAAAAACAAAACCAGATGTCTTTGAGGATACAGTATGTCAACTGCTTTAAACTTAGTCTGAAAAAAGGAGCTTTAAATACTCTCCGTTGGAACTTTCTCCTGTTATGAGATGTCATATGTTATGAGATTTTTGAATCAGACAGGATCAGCAAGTTGTTAATGTCATTACAGTGTACTTAGTAATGCTTCTCAAATTATGTAATTACAGAATCTATAGGAGTTTCATTTTGAAATGTTTTCGATTAATATGGTATATTCACTAGCAAGTTTGCATAAATTACCTAAATGATGCTAAGAAGGTATGTACATAATGATTTATTTTTGTGTCGCCTGCAGAGCAGCACAAAGGGACCACTTTACTCGGCGTCTGTCTGTCTGTCTGTCCGCCTGTCTGTCTGTCCTTCCGTCACACCCAAACTACCCATAGTCCTCTGCGTCTCCGCACATAGGTTTGGTACAAACGAACTCTGGCGGAAGTTTGCGTCACACCCTATATCTCAAGAACTGTAAGAGGTATTGATTTGATATTTTGCACATAATTATATTGCTTAGCACCATGGCTTTTGTAAATTACCATGGTTACCGACCTCATGACCTTTAACCTACTTTTCCAAATAGTTAATAGTGCCGATATACAGCATATTTTTGACATTTAAGAGGTAAGCATATGCTATTTAGCATGTGCACTGTTTGTCACAAGACAATATGATACATGACAATCTAATTAAAATTAGATCTTCCATTCGCTCCCCGATTTTTTATAGGCGACATAGGGTGAATTCACCATGCATCGGACACCCTTGCACTTCAACAAGTTCTAGTGATATCGCTACCGACCGAATATTATCAAAATGGAACTTAACATGTAGTATGTGGTTAAAATATAAATTTTTGACACAATCGTGCCCTATTTATTGAGAAAATATCATTAAAAACCGATTTTTTCGAAATAAGTCAGAATTTACCAAGGATCGGACAATATTCACCATGCATCGGACATACGATATTTGAACCAGAAAAATATCATACCTTGATCTTGGTGCTTTAAAATTAGTGATATCGAAAGATTTTTATCTTTTATTTAAAAATTAACCTTCTAATTAAATTTGAATGACTATTTCGATCCTCAAATATGAAGAGTTTTTAGTTGCATCAAATCGCCTTAGAAAGGCTTTACAATGCTAGTATAATATGACAACTCGCGCCTTTGTCTCGTGGGTTATAATCATCTAGTTTAAACAAATAAATTGAGTCCACTTCTAGTCATCATATATCGATAATTTGTATTTTCACTGAAAATTTAGAGTTTCTATTTTCTATTTCCGTAAAAAACAGCTGTCATTTGGGTTTTACATGAAAATGGAAGTGATTACCCATGCATCGGAAAGTGTCCGATGCATGGTTAATTTGTGTCCGATGTACGGTGAAATAAACATACTAGTTAAAAACAACTCTAAAATATATAATACAAACATTGAAGTAAAATTTTTGAAAAATTTCTGTAATATTATCAATCATTGGCAAATTTTACCAAGGTCCGACCCATTCCGTTGACGTCTATTTAAAAGAACGACAACTCTAAAAATTGCAAAATCGTAAAATTCTGGTTACTCCCCTTTGATGATGCAAAATATGACGTAATTTCAAGGCCATTCTTGTGGTATTTTTATCACAACATGAAAATAAAAATCGACATCATTAAAAAGTTTAATTCTTCATCTTTAAGACAGAAACAAGTAAAAACATGGGGAGACTCAGGTTCAATGAAAGTTTATTGCTTGAAGTTGTCCGAAGCAAGGTATGTGTCCGATGCATGGTTAACTCACCCTATAAAAAATCGGGGAGCGAATGGAAGATCTAATTTTAATTAGATTGGATAAATGCCAGCATAACAATCAAACTGACCTTGACCTTTGACCTACTTTGCAAAAACTATCTCGGGCAGTGTAATGAAACTTATGACTTTTGCATTTTGAGAAGCAGGGTTAGATAATTAGCATTTATACACGTTTATGAGCTCGTGATAGTGTACTTTGAAACCGTTTGATATTTAGTTACCACACAAACTTGTATTTATATACTATGAAAATTCATCGGGATCGGTATTCCACAATGGATTGTATAGGCTGCAATTACAGTAAAGACAGACTGAAATCTCTTTTGGAGGATTGTTGGAAACACGTGTTAATAATAGACAAATAGTTATTTCTAATAATTTCAATTAAATTATTCATTTGAGGGTTATGGAACCATATTTTCTGTGTCAGATTCTATCGCAGTCTTATACTATCCAAGGATGCCATTTTTTCTTTGGAGGCAAATTCATGAACTATTAGTCTATCATGCTTATACATAGTAAATAAAAAGCTGATCACTCTTAGATTTATTTACACCTTTAATGAAGGTACAAAGCAGGCTACACGTGTGTTCCTTGGAACACTCTAGTTATATATGCAACTATAATTGACTGTACTAATATTTTGCTATCATAATGATTAGTTTATGAGATTGATCGATTTTTGTAATAGAACAAACTTCCTTTGTGAAACATAAGACATTTGCTTTCCAAGTGAAAAAATCTCACATGGATCTGTAGGCATTTTTGTTCTCCTAGGGACTTTCCATTTTTCCTATCTAATGAATTAAACTTTGACCTTATTATGGCCCCATTCTACACTCCAAGGGTCTACAATTTGAACAAATTACTCTAAATGGGGATGCTAGCATATTATAATATATGACTAATGAATTTCAAAAAACAATTTCATACATTATATTATTCGCAGGTAAAATTTTGAAGCCTATGTACATGTAGTCCCACTTTGGCCACAAATGTCATTATGTAAAGAAATCTGCATCTACATTACTTACACTGGAATACTTGCATATTAATATGACTAATAACAATGGTCCTGCTGTCCTTGAGAAGAAGATAGAGTTATTTCCTAAGATACATGTATGCAAAGTATTTTCATGAAAAATCTTTGATCCCTTGTTGTGGCCCAACCCTAGCCTTTGGGGTAAGGATTTGAACAGAGTTGAATCTATGCTGACCTGGGATGTTGAATAATTGTTGATAGATTTTGTCCAGACAGTTTTTTAAGGTTTTCCCAAGTCAAAGGTTTCTGAGTTCTGATTTTTTTTTTCCACTTGAGCAGAATGGATCAGAAACCCTTGACTTTGGAAGATGGCCCTGACCTAGCCCGGGGGGGGGGGGGGGGGGGGGGGGCTATTATTTGTAGAAACATGAATCACACTCAGTAAGAAACCTTTCACATAATAAGTGTTAGTTCTGTCTGTGTGATTCTTGAGATTTTCTATAAGACAATAACCACTGCTTACTTTCACTATTTTCCCAATTACATCCTCTTAAAGAAGGGCATGACCCTGATGTTCATTTGCAGAAATTTGAATTCCCTTCATCCAAGGAAGTTTTGTGCAAGTTTTGGAGTAGAAGTCAAAAATAAGAAAAGTGTCAAAAAAGAAAAAAAAAAGACACACAAAGAGGACACAAAAGACAGACAGATGGATGGAGGGCATTTTTCTATCCGGAGACTTTTACTCAGGTGAGCTTTATATGATTAGGAATCTCTCAAGAACATCTTTTGGAATAAGTACCTTAAATACAATTGATTATCTTTATTTACTTATGATCTTTCAGAGCTTATTAAATGTTACAAACATTAAATTTATTTGTGAACTGAAGAATATCTTCTTTTATCCTTTAATTCACATTGTGATGGAAAATTTCTCATTTCAGAACAGACACACAACTTATATAGAAAATTACGAAAGGTGAAGTATCATGATACATACTGTGATACATTCCCAATGTATTATGATATACCAGGATACCCTTTATGGGCTTTAGACAAATTGTTACACTCTTATAAGTTAGTAAGCTTTGTCAAGCTTTTCAAAATAGCTTGATAAAACTAGTATCTGTTTACAGATTTTAGAAATATATTTTTTACAGAAATTTATATAAACAAAAAGTTGCAAGTATGTGACTACTCATATTTGTACTATGGTTTATTAAGGTTCATGGATACCCTGATAAGAAAGATAATTCTCACTGGATAAATGAATATTCTTCTTCTATAATGTTGACAAGTTAATGGACCATTTCTGTAAAATTTTGCCCTGCAAGATTATGTTGAAATTAAGAGCATTTTAATTATGAATTACATTTCTTCTGGGAAAAAAAATCATCAGAAATAATTTTATATGAGTGAGCAAAAGGATGTGAACCTTAAAAAAATTATCCAATTCAAACACTGCATCTTTTGGACACTTTTAATCAAAAGATGTAGGTTCCATACTTCGAGTAACTGTATTATACCACCTTGTGTACATTGAGCCATGGATAAGTAGGAATGCCTTACATAGTGCTAAATTATTGCCAGCCAATTATCTTGTTGGCTAGAACATGTAGAAATGACTTCCTATTTAATTTCATTTATGAAGTAACTGTGTAGTTACAAATCATTCAGCAACTTCATTAAGCCCAAAAATCATGGGAGCATTTTGATGAGGTTATTTTCATGCATTTTTTTAAGAACAGTACTAAGTTGAAGGTTATTCCTGAGTTATTTCACAAAAAGCGGTCATTTATCTGTTTCGGTAACTATCACTGCATCAAACAGTCATAATGCGACTTTTTTACATACTGAATTTAGAAAAAAGAGTAAAGAAAAAAGTATGCAAAACATTACCAAATTACACTACATATAAACACAGCAGAAGACATACACTAAATGTATTATAACATCTAAAAATGTAAAATAAATACCTTAATCATTGACATAAACATTTGACACAAACCGGAAAAAATGATGGGTACGTGTTTCTTTAAAGTAAAACCGGATGCGTAAGAGTAATTCCTTTCCGGAGATCAATATTCGATACATGTAAACGATAAATTGCATTTGTATTTTTTACTTTCTTTGGATGATTATCGGCGCCTTTTGTCCATCTATTGCTGATGAGAGGAAAGGCGAACTGAAACCAACGATCCTAAATAAATTAGCCCAGGTCACTAAAACAATTCGACACGAAAACATCATCTTCGTGAATTTTATTACGAAAAATATTTTTAGCAAATATTTTATAATTTAGATTTTCAATTGACTATGTATTTTTGCTGCATTAATCATTTTTTTTAAATCTAAAACACTGGATGTCGAGAAACAAAAAAAAATGTTCTTAAGGGTGAATTCAAAAATTATGACCGCCAAATTGAATTAAAAAAAAAAATCAACTACCCATAAGATGTTTTTCACTTATATCATCATATCGTACATGAATTCTAGTGAATATTCCTGAAGTTGCAATATGATAGACAATCGGTTAAAAAAGTTTCAGAATTTTTACTCCTAAATCTTTATTTGAAAAATAAAATACACTACATCTTAAAGACTTTCTAAATTACATAATCAAAAGAAATTACAGTTTTTATGCTTAAGAATGGTATCAGGGATAATTTTTTTCTTAGATCTAAACCTTGATTGAGTTTCTTCTCTTGTAAGTAAGTAATTTAGTAAGTAATTTACATAATTAAATCCTTTGTTTACAAACTGTATAAAATAACAATTAACACCCGGCCCATCGGGCCTATATGCCACTTTAAACACAAAATTGAAATACAATATATAAAGAAAATAAAGAGCACAACGTTAAGAGATAAACAAAAAAGTAAATAAACATAATTGTGATACATGTATATATACATATATATGTATTTTGTATGCTAAGACTGGTAGTGTCTGTTATTAGTAGATAAATATGACACTGAAATACATTCTTATTTTCTGAAGATAACGGACTGTCTCCGCATAAATGAAAAATATAAATACTTTGCAACCTGTCGAGGATAATTTGAAATAAGTATTCTTAGTAAATCCACATCTGACCATGCCATTTGATTAAGACCAGTGTTTTCAAAAAGTTTTGAACGATATTCAGAGTATACAAAGGATAATGCAATAAAAAATGAATTTCGTCTTCTACATTATTTTTAGAACAAAAGGTGCAAATTCGATCTTCAACAGGTTCCCCATGATATCTACTGGTTTCTATTCGTAGTGGTAAAATGCCACATCTAAATTGTGCTAAAATTGAACGTGAATATTTAGGCATATCAAGTACTACATAATTTTCCCTTCCAAAAGTTGTTTTAAAATGAACATAAGTCCGCAATTTAGGAATGCTTAAAATCTCATTGCTCCAGAGGTTTAAATAATAATTGTGTATTTTTGATTGAACCATATTTATATTTACCATAAGGTTTGACTCAAAATAATAATCCAGCTCTAGTTGGTGTAATATTTCTTTCAAATCACTGCACCAGTTATTCCTACACTTATTGTAATCAACTTCAAAAACAATTCTTGTAATTCGATCATTGCCAAAGGATAAAACTCTATTCCAATATCTGATTACATTTATCCAACGTCTATGGGAATCCATCCAGTGTCTCCATGAACCCCCAATGTGGGAGCAAAGCGGTGTACCCCAATAAAATACCGAATCGCTCTATTTTGAATATTATCTATTATTGGTTGGATTTTTTTGAAACCCCAGACACCGGATGCATAATCCAAAACTGGTATTACACAAGAGTTAAATAGTTTTTCATAAGCATTTAACCTGAAATCTTTATTACTATGAATGGAAGATATAATTTTCCCGATAGCACGCCCCCCCCCCCCCCCGCTTTAGCAAGATTTTCTGCATTTTTCATGAAATTACCAGTGTGCGTAAACGTTATACCTAAAAACTTATAATTCTCAACTGTTTCTAATTTTAATTATTACGTCCAGTAGTGAATTCGAAATTGGTTGCTCTTGACCTTGTTTTATGAAAATGTACGCACTTAGATTTATTGGTGTTTATAAGAACTCTCCAACGTCTACACCAGCTATGTAGTTTACACCAGCTATGTATTTTATGTATAATTAACAGAAACCTACACGTATATTAACATAAAGGTCTGTGCAATTGAAGATACTTAACTCATTAGAAAATGAAAACAGGTCTATTATCTGATTATATGTTGTAAGTGGGGGAAAAAAATAAGTGGATTTGTCTAGAACCATTATTTCTTTCTTTTATTTAATCATTTGGATTGTTTTTACATGTAAGACAAGTTAACAAATAAATTTTAAAGAGACACCGTGACGCACAAACGGGAAAAATGATAAACATAAAAATTTTGCATGACCCATGCAAATTTTCTTCACTTCCTGAAAGTATTATGTTTCAGAAAATTACAGGTTTCGGAACCTAAAAATCTACTTTTATGGAGAAAAAATAATTTATGTATGGCCCAACACGAAAATATTGCTTTACTTCTTCCTCCTTAATGTACGCGTGCGAAGAAAAGTTTAAGTTACCATGGTCTCAAGTACCAAATGAATGTCGGTAGACCAAGAATTTTTAAACATTTTTAAAAATCTTCAAAAAAGATTATTAGAACATATTTCTCACTTTGCATGCTCCAATTGAATGTTGTTTACAAGTAGACGCTAAAAATAAAATCGATGTGACCTTGACATGTATGTTAGCAACGAAACGGATATAACCTTGTTTTCCGGCACTTTTAAAAGTGCAATCTTTTCTTGCATTACAATACAGCTATAGTTGTCATATCTTCGCTATACTCATAATTTTCATAAATCTTTCGCTTTATTATACAAATATCTTAAAAGAAACACATGATATTGACTCATCATGTAACTTTAAGTTATGTTACTGTGTTGACCGAAAAAGGCAAATTCTAATAGAGAAAAGTTATAAACCCCGCGGGTTTTAAGGTAATAAGGTGCCCAGAAGTTTGCAAGATTTGTCGTCACAAGTCTCATATACAACAGTTTTGGGGAAGAATTGAATAAAACAGAGCTGAAATCACACTGATTGCCTGACGGTGGAGCTTCTTTACAAGCCTTGATTTTCATTCTCATTAACATTAATACATGTTAAAAATTTTTTTTAAAGTATGATATTTCAATATCCTCCTTGGACACTTTTAAAATATATATTATCTCATTTCAGAAGTCAACAGAAAGTGAAGCAGGGTTCGCATGTGTCGTTCAGGTTATTTTTCCTGATAAAGCATCCTCCTCCCCCCCCCCCCCCTAAATTGCCAAGTTTTACGTAAAGAACATGAATGTCGTGATAAAATTTCCTTTTTTACATCAATCAAATCTTTAGTGGTTTGACATTGCTTACACGTAATTTGTACATTTAAAAAATGAATATTTATCTTGTTAATTGGCTCATTTTTTAAGACTTTAGAGATACCCCAAATGTTTTATTTGATACACCATGCACATATATTTGATACATGTATAACACATTCAGTAGATTATAATAATAAATTAAAACTAAAGGATAATAATTGGAATCAAAAATTCAAATCAATAAATACCGTAATAGTAATGTGCTTATAAAGATATCGGAATCGGTCAAACTTAGGTACCGAAGCATGCATATTTGTGTGTATACCAAGGATAATCCATAAAAACCAAAGGCTCACTGTCACGTTGGGTCTGGTTGGTACTATAAACGTACAAGATTGCAAACACGCCATCAAACAATTATTATTTCAACAAATTAAACAAAATCATTTCATTATCAAATATTTATTATTCTTAAATGAAATAAATCTGGGTTAAAAACTATTTACTGTATAATTCACAGAAAGTGAAACCTACGCATATATTAACATAAAGGTCTGTGCAATTAAAGATACTTACTCATTAGAAATTGAAAACAGGTCTATTATCTGATTATATGTTTCAAGTCGGAGAAAATAAGAGGATTTGTCTAGAACCATTATTTCTTTCTTTTATTAAAAAGCGACACTGTGACCCACAAACGGGAAAAATGACAAACATAAAATTTTTGCATGACCCGTGCAAAGAGGTATAGCGCCCTTTCCCGGTTCTACCAGGTTTAAATGGAAAGTACCTGTTACTATAAATATATAGATTTACTTGGCGCATTGGCTTAGGAAACCAACTTCAAGAAATAATCATTCGGAACTATTTCTTCATATATATCATTTAAAGGATTTACCCATAAACTTATGCATTGATTCGGGTTATAAATTCACGAGAAACACTATATTCGATCGTGAGATATTTCTCTTTGATAACTTCAGATCCAGTCATTCTGCACATATCACTACTATCAAATCAAATATTCTTTATATATTTGATTTGTTTGACGTTTTACAGAATTATGTATCAAGATTATTTTTTGACTGTTTTCAAGATTTTTGTTATCATGAAAGGTCTACATCACTATTCGTTTCGGGAACAACTACTGCTCAGTCTACGAATCCACATTTTCTGTATGTATCTCTTCTTTCCAAAATAGTCTAATCGAAAAACCCGTATTATATTAATTAAGTCAGGTAAAGTTAAATTCATATGTATCTGGTTAGCAGACAGGCTTGAACAATAATATTTGTTTCTGATGTGTATATTATGTGGAAAATATGATGATTAAAAATTAACTACATGTAGCTTAAGTAAAAAAGGGAATATAATACGTACTTATAACTATCATTAATGCCAAAAAAAAAAAAAAATCTGGAATTTGGAGGGCTTGAACCGGAGACCTCAAACACAAAAACAGTTCAGCGTACACGACTAAGCTACGCAGACTTGTAATAATCATAATTATGTATTTTATGTATATATAGTCTCGAGTTAGAGTCTTTAGGAAAATAGGATAACTAAGGTATATAATCAATTTTTAATCTAAAGACCAAGTTTAACCAAAACGATTTTAATGTAACAGT